AATTTTTTTTAGGTAAACTTAAAAAACGAATAAAATAATTCCACCTGTGAATGCTTTGGCCAAATTTGGCATCCTCGATTAAGAATAAAAAGGCAGATGCGTCGGTAGCCCTGAGGACTAAAATATCTCGTTAGCAGTAAAAAGGACTGGTGCTACATTATTTTATTTATAACAGGTGAATAGAATTTTGTAGGGTTTGTCGCCCATACTTGCATAAATATATGTGGATTCTGTCGCGTTTAATTACTTTATTTTATATTCCCGACGTTTCCAGTAGTTTACAGCACCCAGGGTCACGGGGATAACTGCTTTGTTCCACGGCCCAATATTGTAGTTAACCACGGCTACCTACAGTTTGAAATTATTAATTTTTGTTTGCAGAATTGTGCGTAGTTTCATTCAATAAAAAAATAAAATTGATTTATTTCAGACGTTTCTCCAAATATTATTATGGTATATTTATAGCAAATAAGAGATCTTAAAAAACCATGTTAGTAACATTTCTTGGAAAAGATGAATTCTAGTTTAAATATCTGCCTGCACTGCACGACACCCCTGCAACATGTGTGTAAGTGTACACTGTACACCATATACTAATCTGTAGCACGCGTAAGTTATAAGAAATTAATTTCGAATTATTGATTTAAAAAAAAACAGTAATTATAATAATTTATATAATGAGGACATTATCCTCCAGACCAGCCATCTGCGCCGGACAGGATTATAGTGCCAGAGTGTATGCGCAAGCGCAGGTGCACTCTACTTCCCTCACTCTCATAGACCGATATGGTAAACTGACATGACTGGAAAGAGATCAGGCGCAGGACCAACGGCTTTACATACTTTCCATGGCACGGGGTAGTAACACCTCCAATGTACCGACTCCGGGCTGCGACTTAGAATTTCTTGACAGAAAAACTCAATAAATTATTTTTTTCGATCGACCCGGGATTCAAACGGGACCTCATAATCAGCAGTCGTGTTTACAACCCCTAGAGCCTAGAGCAACGACGCAGTATAGAAATAAGAATAACATAAACAGAAACTTTTTTATTCAATATAGATTATAAATAATACTTATTGAAAGTCACTCTTTTGTTTAATTACCACTGGTTCGAAAAAAAAGCCTCTGTCCTGGGAAGAACCAGCAAGAAACCCAGCGGGACTTTTTTTTTAAATAACAGCTTACAAACATGTATGTTACACAATTAACAACACAAGAAATTATAAATAGCTTGGTAGCGATCATCTCATTTCCATTTTTTTACAGTTATTATCATCCATAAATTCCTTAATAATAGCATCAAGTATAAAATCATTGAGAACGTAAGTACATTACACTGCAATAGCTAAAATAGCATACAAGACTTTCTACCTGAATACCAAGATAACTCATGAATTATTTACAAGCGCTGAAATGATTTAGAATCATCAGTTTAATGCATTTTTGCACGGACACCAGGTGTATGAATTAACAAGATTGATTAATATATACGAGAAATTGTTCGTCATGTACCTAAAGAAAACATGAACTGGCTTACAGATAAATACGATTATTACCCTTGCAGCTCTTCACAAGTCCACTACCGGACAGGCTTCCTCCAAGGAATGCCACAAAACACGATCCAGAACCATTTGCATCCATCATCCTGTATTTTTTATAAAAGAAGGTGGCAAACGAACACATGGCCCACAAGTAGATGCAGACACAAGCTAGTAGTACCAGTTACTCGACTCGATCGAGTCAGTAATTCATTCTTAATACACTTTTACAACAAAATTCCGGAAAATATACAAAATTCGACGTGCTCAAAGTTCAAAAACTTTATTAAACTAAGTTTGTATAAAAAGGGTTATTATAATATTAAAGAATTTATAGATGATAATAACCCCTGGAAATGAGGTGATCGCTACCAAGCTATTTCTAATTTGTTGTGATAACTTGTGTAACATACGTGATTGTAAGCTGTTATTTTAAAAAAAAAAGTCCCGCTGGGTTTCTTGCTGGTTCTTCCCAGGACAGAGGTTTTTTTCGAACCAGTGGTAATTATACAAAAGAGTGACTTTCAATAAGTATTATTTATAATCTATATTGAATAAAAAAGTTTCTGTTTCTGTTTCTATAAGCCCATAGACATATTATACACCTTTCTTCAATTGAGAATAAACCTACGTAACACAGCAGCATAGCTGCTAATACACGCTGGTATTCTGTGAATGTTAGCCTTCGGCGGTCGAACTGACCCATTCGTGCTATAACCACTATAGCTGTAGCATGGCTTTTTTATGGGATAAAGGTCACACCTATGGCGGTAGTTGTTGGGAACACTAAGCTCGAAGTTGACGAGTATGTTTACCTGGGACAAATAGTCCGACTAGGTAAGTCCAACTTCGACCGAGAGGTCAATCGACGGATTCAACTCGGCTGGGCAGCGTTCGGGAAGCTACGACACATCTTCTTGTCAGACATACCTCAAAACCTTAAAACGAAATTGTACAACCAGTGCGTGTTGCCAGTGATGACTTACGGATCTGAGACGTGGTCCTTCACTGCTGGCCGGATGAGAAACCTTAAGGTCGCTCAGCGAGCTATGGAGAGGGCTATGCTCGGAGTTTCTCTGCGTGATAAACTTAGAAATGAGGACATCCGCAGTAGAACCAGAGTAACCGACATAGCCCAACGGATTAGTAAGCTGAAGTGGCAGTGGGCCGGCCATATAGCTCGAAGAACCGACAACCGATGGGAAAGAAAGGTTCTCGAGTGGCGGCCTCGTACCGGTAGGCGAAGTGCAGGGCGTCCCCCCACGAGATGGAGTGACGACCTGGTAAGACATGCAGGAAGTCGATGGATGCAGGTGGCTCAGGACCGTGCTTTGTGGCATTCTTTGGGGGAGGCCTATGTTCAGCAGTGGACTTGTGAAGGGCTGTAATGATGAATGATGATGATGAAAGGTGACAAGCGCAAGCGAGCATGTCCACCTGGTGGTAAGTGGTTTCTATGGCCCATAGACATCTACATCTATCCTCGTTTATCAACCGTGAGGACTAAGATAGAATACCTTGTTTCCAGTAAAAGGGTCTCTACAATCACCATACGAAACACAGCAACATTAAGCTGCTATTTTACGCTGGTGTTCTGTGAGAGCGTGGTCCTTCCCCGGTCTAGCTGCGCCATTCGTGCTACAACTATACTACTAATATAGCTGCATCATGGCTCTACCACGTATAAGTATATGTCGCCTTTACGATACCCATGGGAAGAAATGGGACGGCGATGGATGAATTCTCTTACGCTAGCACGTATACGAGTATGGTGAGTGTAGAGAACCGGAGACCATTTTTACCGGAAACGAGGCATTCCATCATATTCCTCACGGGTGACAACGCATTCTGCATTTAACGCATTGTCCATAGGCCACAGCATCCATTTTGACCGTGTGCTGCTTTGTCACCCTTATTCTATAACAATATTCAATTCATTCATTTTTATAGTTTTCTATTAGCGTTAACGATTGTATAATGTCAACTTTGCTATCCTCTCAGTACCGCTAAGCTTCGATCGACGCGTGACGTCATAACAATATTCGCAAATTAGCGGCAAATCTGCGCCCGGATTTTATACTTATATTACTAGCTGTTTTGCACGGATCCCTAATTCTTTTTCTATAATAAAAGTAACCTAAGTCACTCTTTATAACATCATCTATCTGCCAGTGAAAGTCCCGTCAAAATCTGTCTAGCCATCCGTTACAAACAGACAGACAGACAAAAATTTTAAATAATGTTTTTTTGATACTTTCAAATGTATGTAGTCACAGTATACTATAGTAGACATAGTAGTAAAAGCAGTTTTTAATTTTGACATTAAATTTCGTTTTATATTATTATCATTTTTTGTCTTATACAAATTCTCTGCAAATTTTCGCATTTGCAACCCAACCAGTTAATATAGCACATACAACCCAACCAGTTAATCTGGTTGGGTTGTATAAATATAAGTGTATACCCCACCCTACAATTTTATTTTATTTTTTAGATTGTACAAAACGAAACCTTTACCACAGACTAACTAAAGATTCTACATTTTTTTTACACTTAAGTTTGCTAATTTATTTTCAGACTTTGTTGAGTCCGATACATTACATGATAGCATAGCAATTATGACTACTAACTATGATTATTGTAAATTATATACACCGTATATAATAGCGTACCGGCTGCAATATTAACGTTTTTCGAAACTTCTATAAACTAGAGGCAGTAATGCTTTTAAAACAATTAAACACCTCAAAGGACTGATTCACTGGGAGGGCGCTCCATATAAGTCATGGTCTTCTTAATTAAAATAATGTAAATCAACAGAAAATAATCCGAATGAATAAGACTTTGTTCACTTTTTAATTTCAAATTGGGCAAAACAAATTCATTCACATTACACATAACTATGAGTACATTTTGCGAAACCTCTGCCCTCATGAGTGGTAATCGAGGCTCACGACTACAACAAGAATGGCAGGTACTTACCTAGACAGAGTCTTAAATAGAAATAGAGTACACATCCACCTTTGATACACAATAATGGAATCAATTCCACATAGTTTTAAATAATTTTCATACACAAAAATCATTGTCACTTGAAAGTTTTTTTTATAGAATAAGGCCCGCCACATACATACAAAACATCGTTTTGCCCGCAAAATTTCGAACGAAAAACTACCGTACGTGTAGGTAACAGATTTTTATGAACTTGCTGCTTTCGGAATATCGAATCGGAATTCCGAAGCGGAATTCCGTATATATGTAGCAGGCCTAAGGGTGACAAATATATTATTAAGAAATGATTGTTTACACCTGCCACAGTTTCTCAAATCATCCAGGGTTGACTGGTAGAGAATGCCATAAGGCATTAAGTCCGCCCTTTATATCCCTTATTATAAGGTGCATAATAAAACATTATTGTTGTTCTACAATAATATAAGATTGAATATTATTGAGCTCACCGTCTCCTTTATATGATTCCTCTCGTTAGTTATGAGATGCACGTCCGGTTTAACGCCACTTTTCGGTGAATTCGGCGTGCCAAAAACCATCTCCACTTCGTTTAGGTCCAAAGGTTTTTTTGTCCTATGAATCTCCTTGGGGGACTCCACTTTTCCAGATATAGGACTATCTCTTGACATTCTAACACTCAAATTATTACTTTCCAATGAAATTAATAAGAGTATATAGTGTAAAAATTATGTTTTATTACTAAATAACATTTAATTTAGTATTGCACGTGATTGTTAAAATAAAAAGTTTTCACTGAAGCGTTCGACTGTGTCGACTACGCGTCCTCACACCGCGACGATCGGAGTATCACTGTATATAATTCATTCACACAGCAATTGACTTAATGACTTGATCTCTAAAAATACCACTATTTAACACAATCAAACTGGGGTACACACACATTCCCATTTATTATATTGGAATGTCCGTAGTACACTTACTGGAAAATGAGTTAACTGTATAATTTTTTTTTGAACAGCTTATAATAAATTACTATTTCTTTGTGTTTATTTACAAACATTAACATATAATCTTAACAATGAGGCAATCATTATCATTTTGAAATAAAGTCGTCCGATAAGCTTCTCGTTTACCGTTATATATATTATCCTTATGTAGTTAACAGTAAAATATTCAACATATTTTACAGGTAAGGGTGTAAAACGAGCAAACATTCCGACGGTAGTTTAGTTTAGTTTAGTTTAAGACGGGCTGTTTACAGCAGTTGCTCAATGTCTATGCGCGTATTTTGCGTGTGGGCGGGAATAATGTGATTATACGAGCCATGAGATCTCCCCGAAGAAGCTCAACAGTCCTTTGATGTTGCATGCAACTTCGGGGAGTGATCCCAGCATGCCAAGATGTTTAGCCCTGTACATAGCGAACTCCGGACATTTCAGTAGCACGTGGGCCGCCATTTCTTCCTCCCCCATACATGCCCTGCACAGGGGATTATGTGTGACACCTATGGTAAGTAAATGTTTGTTAAAGGTGCCGTGTCCTGTGATAGCACTTGTTACTATCCTGATCTGCGGCTTGTTCAGTCTCATTAGAACTTTGGTTAAACTACTGTTTATTATAAGCGGGGCCTACCTATGGCATTCCAATGGTAAGTGGATGGTGTAGTCCATATACACCTAAATCTGTTCACGATTAAGAAACATAAATATTTTACAGGCGTAATGTCTTTATCAGACGAGATTCATAGAACTAACATTGGTCAGTATTAACGTCTCACAGTGTTGTGGGGCTTAAGAACATCCATTACCCCATATCGTCCCGTGGCTGTCGTAAGAGCCGACAAAGGGAAATAAGTCAGGAGATGGACAGCAGCGTCTTTCTAATAACAACTCAAAAAAAAAACGGCCAACCCGCCGCCAAGCATGGCAAGTATGAAAAACATATTCCTATGAGGCAATCTCTGATGAAGGATTTTCAGCAGTGAACTTTTGATAGACTATAACTATACCGATCTTATACCAGTGAACTGGTTCTACGTCTTCGGTTTTAGTCAGAGAAGAAACACAACAGCAGTTCTTAAGAAGTGCAGCAGCGCAATAATAGCTACCTTAATTCAACGTGATTCTACCACGCCACGTATATTAATTACCATATTAATTTATGATCTTTTCTCCAAATTTAGTATTGACATTAACATTTTTACTTTTAGTGGTTTTTTTTCTCTTTATTTACGACAACTAATTATTATACATTCAGTTTACTACATAAATTAAAGAAATTGTATTACTTAAAGAATAACCAGCTCCTTTATTCATGGTGAGTTGTTGCTTAAAACGTGTACACAAACTACCGAACATAAACCAAGAATTTAAAATTAAAAATTTTGTACAACCGACTTCAATATAAATTCGTATGAATAACTCAAAACCTATTGATCAGACTTTGATCAAATTATATGGGATCACATGTGAAGCACCAACTTTCAAATAAAAAAAAAGAATCATCGAAATCGGTTCACCCAGTAAAGAGTTATGAGGATAACACACATAAAAAAACCGGCCAAGTGCGAGTCGGACTCGCGCACCGAGGGTTCCGAACAAATCTGTAGGTATATAAGTTTAAAATTATTAAAAATATTTTTATTATATGATGTAACTAAAAATTTATGCTTTTCGCAATTTTTCCTTTATCTGTACTATAATACGTTGCTTCGTACCAAATTTTAAGATTCTGAGTTCACGGGAAGTACCCTGTAGGTTTGATTCCCTTGCGAATGTCGAAAATTTGCCGCATAAACGGCTGTATCTTTTGATTGCGTTGACTTAGAAGTTTGATTTTTTCACAGCTCCAAGGGACAGTAGACTTGAGTATTTGATATGAATTTCAGCTTGATACCTCCACGCGTTCCTGAGCAAAAGGGTCTTGACAGACAGACTGACAGACGGACAACAAAGTGATCCTATATAAGGGTTACGTTTTTCCTTTTGAGGTACGGAACCCTAAAAAGAAATCAAGTTGCCAAAATAACATTTTTTTGGATTTTTTTTTGCAAATGTTATACGCTGCGCAGTAAGGAAATAACGCTCTGCCCAGACTCGCGGGACTGGATTCCCCAATTGAGAAAATTATATTTTTTCACAATTTCAACTTCAAACAACAAAAGGATCTTCCCAAAATTCGTCGCCAGCTGTCAAGGCTATATTTGTTATGCAGATGGTCACGCAGTGTTATCATCGTTGAAAAGTTGCTATTTTTTGTTTTTGTTTTTCTTATACTTCGAATATCTGTAGTGCGGTTTATGCATTTCTAATCAAATTTATATAAACTATATCTAATGTTTCAGAAAGAAACATTAATCTCTACACTTTTCTAACAAATTAACTTTACCCGCTATGAAATCTGTCAAATATTTCACCTCAATTCTAAGTGGCGCGCCCTAATGGAGATGCGAATCTTTTAGCTGCTAACGTACTTATGTCATTTTTCTTCTTGTCCCCCTTTTTAATCGTCAAGCGTTTTTCATCTGACCCTTTTTACTGGCTTGATACCTCCACGCGTTCCTGAGAAAAAGGGTCTTGACAGACAGACAGACAGACGGACAACAAAGTGATCCTATAAGGGTTCCGTTTTTTTCCTTTTGAGGTACGGAACCCTAAAAAGCATACAGTCGAATTGAGTACCGTCTAGTAAGTGATTAAATTTATATGGGACCACATAAGAAGCACTTCAAATAATCATCAAAATCGGTTCACCTAAAAGAAATTCTGAGGTAACACACATTAAAAATACAGTCGAATTGAGAACCTCCTCCTTTTTTATTTATTTATGTACACACAAGATACAAAAACAGTCTTATAGTGAGTTGGTTAAAAGGTTCTAATTCCATAATTAGTTGAAATGTCTTCCAGTACCCACAAAGGAAAATATATTAAAAAGAAAAACTTAGTGGGTACAATACTATACAATACTATTAATAATACTAACTACTACTACTACTACTAATACCCAATGGGTAATAATTCTATGATACTACTGTAAATAATATACAAAATGTTACGTAAATTATATAAAATTATATAATTACTCCTTTTTTGAAATCGGTTGAAAAATAAGAGGAAATAATATGGCGAAATCAGAAGAAAAATACAAATTAAGGAACTACATTAAATAATACGTTGCATAAACTAAAACTTTTAAATTTCATAATACAAGGTAAACATGGTTTATTTTATTGTACGAGCATTTTTTTTTTACTATTCTAAACCAGCGCTTGATTACTATCTCACCTGATGGTAAGCGGGGATGCAGTTGAAGATGTTGAAGCGCGCTGAATAAAAAACAAAAGCCTAATCACTCTTGCCTTGAAGACACCTACATTGTAATCTGATGGAAAGATTGATGCTGGCAACTTATTCTATTCCTTTACTGTACGCATGACGAACAATGTAAATACACATAATTGTACATAATTGTATTATTTTTAAACGATAAAATATATCTGCGAAAAGTTCAAAATGCTTAAAATAAAACTTTAAACTAAAATAATAATATAGCTATACTCCTCGTCGTATCCATCTTCATATTCGCTAAATTGAATTTTTAAACGAGAATAAACCCCTTTATCCACAGCGGCGGCAAAAGTCCCACATGGTATAGTGCTATCAAAACTGACACGAAAGGAGTCCGCTGACCTACCATATTATCTACAAGCCTAAAGAGCTTTTTACACTAAACTATTAAATTTTCAATCGCTATCCCTTATTATCCTTATCCCTTGGCTATTCATTATAATTATTTCACTCTTTATATTATCTATACATATAAATAAATAAAAAATTGGTAAATCCAATTGGGCATACCTTAAGCACATTAAAAGAATTACGTATAACATGATTATACGTAATTTTTAAAGTACTTTAAATACATTTCGACAGCACTATCGGCTTCAACACCCTCGAAAACCATGAAAATGACACCCATGATGAAAAAATTGATACCTATTGCAGCCGCCATCTTGGATTTACATTTCGACAGCACTATCGGCTTCAACAGCCTCGAAAACCATGAAAATGATACCCAAGATGAAAAAATTGATACCTATTGCAGCCGCCATCTTGGATTTACATATTTACAGCACTATCGGATTCAACACCCTCGAAAACCATGAAAATGACACCCAAGATGAAAGAGTTGATACCTATTACGGCCGCCATCTTAGATTTACATTTCGACAACCCTATCGGTTTCAACACCCTCGAAAACCAACCACCTGTCGAAATGTATTTAAACTACTTTAAAAATTAAAGTAGTTTAAATACATTTCGACAGCACCATCGGCTTCAACACCCTCGAAAACCATGAAAATGACACCTGTTTACGCCCGAACGCTGATTTCGGGATTGACGCCAGAGGGCACTCGGCTCGGTGCGAACTGGTTAGAAGTTCGGCCGAGCGTGGCAAGAGCGGGCGGGTCGCGAGCGAAAAGTCAGTCGTCTGCCAGCTGTGCTAATGTCTGCAAGCTGTTAATTTTGTGCGGGAACCGCGGAATAGTTAGGGCGTCTAGTAAATATCCTGTCTAGGAATTATAACGCGCATTCCCTGTTTGGATAGCCTTTCCCGGGACTTATTGGGTCCGACTCAGAATCTGTATAAGTGCATTCGACAATAT